ATCGACAGGAATAAAGGCCAAAGCTTTTAAAAGTTTGACTGAAAAAGCAAATGTCACATCGCTATCCATGTCTTTTTTGTGGCCTAATGACTGGATTTTTCTGTAAATACATTGAGCAAAATGGAAATGACAACCAATATGTGTAACGCCAGGGAAAATTTTCTTGATAACATTTATAACAGCAATTTCAAAATCAGTTATAATAACTGCTACGTCCGATGAGTTGGTCAATTCTTTGATTTTTGATAATGCTGATTCGTACGTGGATTCCTTCTTGTTCGGCAGCAGTGGCGCACCCAAGGGGGGGGTTTTGGGGGTTAAACCCCCCCCCCCCCCGAAATTTAGCACTGGTACAGAGAATTTTCCGGTAAAAATATTTTTTTTGCGATTTTGGTTAATAGGTAGGTACCCACAAACTTTCCATTTCACATACATGGCACCCCTAAAAGGTTTTGCCTCCGACAGCGAGTTGATTTAGGTGAGTAAACAGCGAGGTAAACACATAACATACAATCGCTTGGTTGGTTGGTTGGTTGAGATGCAGAATGAACAGGTCGGGTTATGTGGCCCCAACACTGCAGCCGTCGGCTTATTGTATTGTCCTGTTCGTCTGTTTAGTCAGTGGAAAGTTTCGTGGCCTTGATTAGGTTTAGGAGTCTCTTCACCGTATTACTTTTGGTGAGTTTAGACATAGGGTCTTCTGGCCCTATCTGTCTGTATCTCCACCAGCGTAAAGCCTCAAAGTATATGTAGTTGGCGGTTTCATCCTCCTCGTCACAAAGTCTGCATATGGGTTCTTCTTGGAGGATGTCCATTGTGTGAAGGTGTTTTCTCAGGCTACAGTATCCAGTTATAAGTCCAATTATTAGTCTGATTTGATTCCTGTTTAGTTTGTAGGATTTATTCAGTAAGTTTAGGTGATGGTTGTTGTCCCATTAGCTTACTGTGTCTGAGCTTCGGAAGAGTTTGCCAGTAGATTTTGTGTTGTCTATACACCCATTGGTTTATTTTTGTTCTTACCGATGAGTTCGTGGTGCTATTTGAGTTCAGGACAGTATAACTGGTTGCCGATCCTTCTCTTGCCAGAGCATCTGCTTTTTCATTTCCTTCAATTCCTTTATGCCCTGGCACCCATTTAAAGGTTACCTTGTTGGCCATACTTAGGTTTTTTAGGTTTTCCAAGCATTCCCAGACAAGTTTGGATTTTATTTCAAAACTGTTGGAGTGCTTTGATCGACCGCTTGACCGTCAGAGCAGATAAGGATGTTTTTACCTGTGTATCCCTTCCTCAGGTTTTCTCTCAGACAGGAGTCGATGGCATGTATTTCTACTTGGAATAGAGTAGTGTATCGGTAGTACAAAGATACGCAAGTCTCTGGATTTTGGCTAGCTCCAGGTTTGCTTGTCTTTGGTTTACTTTAGACCACCATACAAGTGCACCATATGTTATCATTGGTCTTACAATTGTAGTGTATATCCATTGTATAAGTGACGGTTTTAGTCCCCATGTTTTCTCAATCGCTCTATTTAGTGACATCAACGTCATCTTGCTTTTGGTGGTTATCTTTTGGATTGGATTGGATTGGTTCCATGTCAGCTTCATATCTAGGATGATTTCCTGCCAAACTCCAAGCTTTTTTGGAATAGACTGATGGGTGATGGGGGCGATTAAGTTCTCCAGATTTCTTTTTCTCGTGAAAGGGATGAGTTCTGTTTTGGAGGGGTTGACGCGAAGTTGCTCCCTCGTGCACCATTCTCCAATGATTTCTAAGGCGTCATTTTTGCTAATAAACGCGTGACACCCGAAAAGCGCCTGCCTGCGGCGAGCTTATGAGAACCCCCCCCCCCCCCAAATAAAAAACCTGGGTGCGCCATTGTTCGGCAGCAACATATAAACTAGAGGCACAACTGTAGTCTTGTTTATATAATCATGTATAGTGTATAATTGGTAAAATATTTTAGGAACATGTTGAAAAAAGTACCATCCATAAACCATTGTGGAGAATGTAATAAAATTTCAAAATTTTCATCCGTTGCAAAAATTAAAAAGCGTTCCTTATGAAGGCCGCTGTCAAACTGTAGAATTTTTTTTATTTTTATCTGTAATTTGAAACACATCCGGTAAAATAAGGTCCTCCCTTGTATCTGGTACTGTTGGGAAAGCGTTATGCTTATTCCGGGCTAAATTCACTGTTCGCTTAATATTTTTGATGGAAGGCAAATTTACAACTGCTAGCTTTGAAGCTTCTCCTAGAGCTTCAGAAATTATTGTTTGTGGTGTTTTCGTAGAAAAATTGGCTTTATCAATTACATTATTTAAAATTTTTCTTACTTCAAGTTGATCTGCTCGACCAGGATGGTTGTGCTCTCCCTTTAAAACAATATTCACATTCTCACCATTTTGTTTCGCCCTGCCTTTGAAAAATCTTCACATTTCCAATAAGTTGATGATGGGAGAACACTTTTATCTTTAACATAGAAGAATCGTCCTAAATAAAGCTTATCATTTCCTTTCTTGGATTTAATTATTTCGAATTGTCGCGACATTTTGAATGACAATCAATAAACTTTCAATAGCTATTTTCCTAACGAGTGCGGGAAGAGAAATTTCCAACGCGAGGGTGCGAAGCGCCCGCGTGTTGGAAATTTCTTCCCGCAAGAGTTAGGAACTATATTTTTTCTACGAGCATACTAAAGCTGATGTTACGAGAAGTTTAATCTAAATAAAATGCGATTGTGCAGAAGTTAGAATTAAAAATGTATTGAAAGGTATTCATAAAAAAAAGGTAAAGGTATCAAAGGTAAAGGTATAGGTGTATCAACAATACAAACAATTCCATGTCACATGATTATTTCAAAGTCTTCCCGCACTGAGTGCGGGAAGAAATCTCTTCCCGCACTGGTGCGGGAAAAAAGTCTTCCTGCACAGCAAATCGTGCGGGAAGAGCCATTTCCCGCACGCTCGTAGAAAAATAGTTATTTTCCTAACAAGTGCGGAAAGTGATACTTTCCCGCACACGACTGCCGTTGACCCGAACGACGCGAAGCGGAGTTCGGGCAAGCAGTCGAGTGCGGGAAAGAGACTTTCCGCATGAGTAAGGAACATTATTTTTTCTACGAGCGCGTTCAAATATAAAAATAAAAATTAAGTAAATTAAAAGCGATATATTATTGAAGAAATCGTTCAATTACAATAGTTATTTATGTATCAAGGGTACTAAGTAGATGATTATGCCCTGAAGGCCACAGTCTTACAAAGCCGAGTGCCTCTGGCCCGAGGGTTTATATATCTATTAGTACCCGTGGTGCATACAAACTTTTATGTCATACCAGTTGGTTGTGAATAATAAATATATATAGGAAGCCTTCCAAAGAAAAATACATATATATACAAAGTATATATATACAAGTTTATATACAAGTATATATACAAGTATATATAGAAGTTTATATACAAGTATATATATTACCACAAAAATATATACATAATGGGCAAGACGCAATCGAAAGAAGAAGTTGTAATCGCTCAGACCGCAAGTGGAGATGCGACTAGCAGCCTGAATCACGGAATCTCTCTCTCTCTCTCTGAATGGCTCTTGGTGGGTCTTCTGGTTGCCGTTATTTTTATTATCATATACCTTACAAGAGGACGATTTAAAAAATCCTTGCAAAGAAGTATTAGAAGAGAAATTGTTAATCACGAGCTGAGGAAGTCCCGAGATGAAATCAACGACGAAGTTTAATTTTATTATTTTAGGTATTTTTTTTTAGCTGGAAACTATCTTAAGAAGAAAAAGACAGGAAGTAAATTGATACCCAGGAAAATTGTATTTGTGTGTTATGGACTAATTAATATAATATGTTGTAAAAAACGCTGACCAGGACAAGGCGTGCATAAAATTATTGTGAAATATACTTATTTGGTCGAAAAATTTAAAAATATATATGTAACAGGTAAATATTTATAAAATATTGTATTACCTATGTAAATTGTCAAAATTGGATAAATGTTCTTCTATTAAATATGAGCCTAAGCTGGAACTAATAGGTAATTGATTAATGGCAGATAAACTGCGCGAAAGGACATGGCACGGATTAAATGGAAACTAAAGGCCAGTCGATTTTTTTTAAATTTTAATATGTTGTAGAGTGAGGGAAAAGAAACAAAAGTTACCATGGGCCCATTGTGCCCCGACCAATAGGAGACCCACTAAATGAGTTTAAAGAACACTTTAAAAACATAAAAACATATAAGTAAAACATAAAAACACACCATCTACACTTTATTCATACTACTATGACTATGCAAGAATTCTATTATGTTATGGATACATCCTTTTCGCGAAAAAAAGACAATTGAAAATCGCGAATTTGTCTGGGCATGGCGGCAGGGAAGTGATACCTGTCGATATAATTTTTTGAAAGATATTTTCTATCTCTTTAGGGGGCCCTTCCTTCTTCTTGCGAGGGGGGGGAGGCGTTAAAATCTTGGGTATTTTTACCAAACCAACTTTTTAGCTAAAAAGACAACAATATAAAACATGAAAACCTTAGTAATTTGCCATTTTCGATCATTTCCAAGCTTTCTTTAAACTCATTTAGTGGGTCTCCTATTGGTCGGGGCACAATGGGCCCATGGTAACTTTTGTTTCTTTTCCCTCACTCTACAACATATTAAAATTTTAAAGAAATCGACTGGCCTTTATTTTCCATATAATCCGTGCCATGTCCTTTATGAGGTTTTGAATAATATAAAAATATATATTAGAAAACTAAACTACGAAAGACGGGAACAACCTATTTTAAAATCAAAATTAGACGAAGCAAAGGCCTGTTATTCCAAGCTTAGCTCAGAAATTACACTAATCAATGAACAAATAAAAAATTCTGACCTATACGATTCTCAAATTTCACTTATAAAGGATTTCGTAGGAAAAATTGAAAAAGTCTATAGTGAAATTTTAGAATTCCAGACCAAAGCAGACTTAACTAACGACAAAATGACTTCATTCGATCTAAAAACTGCTGTGAGTCTCCTGCCTAGTCCTTATGATACAGAGGAAACTACCAATAAATTAGTCGATGCTATAGAACTGTACGAATCCGTGCTTAAAGCTGAGGACAAACCTGCATTAATAAAATTTGTTCTTAAAACACGCTTAACGAGTAGTGCAAAACTGAGATTAAATAATAGTTACGATTCAGTTGCTGATTTGTTGGTAGATATCAAAAGACACCTCCTTACAATACAATCTGACCCGGCACTTCAATCAAAATTATTTCGTGCAAAGCAAGGCCAAAAGTCTATCGAATCTTTTGGAAAAGAATTAGAGTCACTTTTCGTTAATTTGACCATATCCCAAGCTAATGGCGATAATGATTCATTTACAATAATAAAACCTATTAACGTAAAAATCGCGATAAAAAGATTTTCTGATGGTCTCCGAGATCAAAGATTAAGTACAATAATTGCCGCCAGACATTTTCCGTTTTTGAAAGATGCTATAAGAGCAGCTCAAGACGAAGAAACCAATTCGTTTAATAACAATAATAATTATTCTTCCCAAGTTTTCACATTTAACAGAAGGGAAGGAGGAAATTTTTCGAGAAACTTCACAAGGGGCTCTTTTTCAAATAGAAATTCCTACAACCGAAATAATGATAGGCGAAATTTTAATCAAAATAATAATCATAATAGCGAACATTACCGACCCAACAATTCTAGGAATTTCAGAGGACGTACATTCACCCAAGATTCCGGAAATAGGAGAGGTTCGCGAACCAACAGACATAACTTGCACTTTGCTGATGTGCTTAACCCAGGTCAAGTGCAAGACGCACGAGAAAATACTGAACTCAGTAATGACAATTTTTCTAATACATTTTTTCGTCCCTAAAGGAAACAGTTGTTCAAATTTAAGTAAACACATTTTCACCCATTCAAATAATTATTCGAATTCAGTTACCTTCTCTGTCGAAAATAATGAATTAAAATTTTTAATAGACACAGGCGCTTCTTTATGCGCAATTAAATCAGAATTTTTAAACCACAAATCAAAATTTTACGAAGATAAATTAGAAGTTAAAGGCATTGGCGGAATTTTAGATTCACAAGGATATGTTTAATTAAAATTAAAAATAGGCCATGAAAAATTTTATGTTTTTGATGCTCTAACATGTTCAACTGATGGCATTATAGGAGAAAATTTTCTAAGAAAATTTAGTGGAACCATAAATTATGAAGAAAATACTTTGTCACTCATAAACTTTTCGGGTAATGAAATTCGTTTACCAATAAATTCCCCGAACAATAACATAATAATAGTACCTTCAAGGTGCGAATCTACTTATTACTTACCTACTGGAATGACTGAAGAATGTGTGGTAATTCCTAGAGAATTGTGTCAAGGAGTTTTTATGGCTGGTGTACTGGCTCGGCCAATAGAGGGAAAAATTCCCGTAAAGATTCTAAATACCCGAGAAAGTGACGTGCTTCTAAAAAACTGTTTACCCAGAACAGAAAAATCTAGTGAGTATGATATCTGTGTGTTTGAAGATACTGCTGTATCTGTAGCAAGAGTGAAAGACTTATTTGACCTATTAAAACTTAATAATTATTTGAATAACGAAGAACAAAACTCCATAGGGAGCATTTGTGCAAAATTTGCTGACATTTTTCATATGCCTAACGATAAATTATCCGTCACAAATCTTTACAAAGAATCCCTACTTCTGAAAGAAAATTCCCTCCCTACTTATGTCAAGCCCTACAGACTTCCTCACTCTCAAAAAGACGAAATAAATAGACAAATTTCTAAAATGTATGATGATGGTATAATAGAGCATGCGCAGAGTGAATGGTCCTCCTCAATCTTACTAGTTCCAAAAAAGACAGACGCTAGTGGAGAAAAAAAAATCACGTTTAGTCATAGACTACAGATTAGTCAACAAATCGCTTCTAGACATAAAATTTCCCTTAGCAAATGTAACTGATATTCTGGACGCCCTTTCAGAAGCAATATATTTTTCTCGCTTAGACCTAAGTCAAGGCTACTATCAAGTAGAGTTGGATAAGGAGAGTAGAAAATATACTGCTTTCACCACTGACCGGGGGCAATGGCAAATGAAAAGATTGCCTATGGGTTTAAAAACTAGTCCCAGTGCGTTTTCGAGGCTAATGACTGTAGCTATGTCAGGTCTAAACTATGACAAATGTTTTGTTTACCTGGACGACTTGATTGTTTTCGGTAGAAATCTTATAGAACATAACAAAAATCTCATAAGCATTTTTACACGTCTTAGAAAAGTGAAATTAAAATTGAATCCGCTAAAATGCGAGTTTTTGAGAAAACAAATTTTGTATTTGGGCCATATTATCTCCTCTGGCGGTATTCTGCCAGACCCAGATAAAGTAAAGGCTCTAAAAAATTATCAAGTTCCAAAAAAATTCAGATGAAATTAAAAGATTCGTAGCATTCGCAAATTATTACAGAAAATTCATTCCAAATTTTGCTCAAAAAACAGTCCCCTTAAATAAATTATGTAGAAAATACACTACATTAGAATGGACAAAGGAGTGTGAAAGTTCCTTCAATTTCCTCAAAAACGCACTGAGCCGACCCCCAGTTCTAGACTACCCTGACTTTTCGCATGAAAATGAGTTTATACTTCAAACAGACGCTTCAAACACAGCTATTGGTGTAGTTCTTTCTAATAAAAATAACAAACCAATTGCATATGCGAGTAGAAGTTTAAACAAAGCCGAAACCAGCTATCCTACGATAGAAAAAGAACTCTTAGCAATATTTTGGGCAGTACGACATTTTCGTCCATATTTATATGGACGCCACTTTAAAATACGGACAGACCATAAACGACTTCTTTACCTTTTCAACCTTACAGACCCTTCCAGCCGTTTAACAAAATTCCGTCTAGGATTAGAAGAGTATGATTTTCACGTTAAGTATGTGAAAGGATGTGAGAATGTTACCGCCGATGCTTTATCGAGAATAGTAATAACGTCTGAAGAACTAAAAGGCATGAACGGGAAAATAATTGCTGTTATGACTAGAGCACAAACTAAAACAATATTAGATGAACAAGATAATTCTGTGAATGTTCGGCTTGATCAACCGGACGCGGACGTCGTAGAAATTTTTAAAAAACCAAAAAATAGTACCGAATTAGTATTAACAACTTTTGAGGCAATTACGAAATTAGCTAAAAATATAACTTATAATGTGGGAAATTTTTTTTTCGTTGACATAGATTCAGTCTTGTACTATGTTAATCAAAATACTCGATCGACATCGGCGCGAGACGAGATGTTGAGAGATTTGATTGAAATAGGTAAGAATTTGAATATTTGTGAAGTAGTAATCATAAAAAATAAAAATAATGAAGAGTTTATACAATGGCTAGCCAAAGAAATAAAGAAAGACTCTAATTGGACGGGTCCCCGTTTATGTATAATAAAAGGAGTAGAAAAAGTATTTAGCGATGAAAAAAAAAGAATAATAATAAACAAATTCCATTTACTTCCTACCAGTGGTCACGCTGGCGTTAACCGTATGATAAATAATATTAAAAAATATTACTTTTGGTCAGGCCTTGATAAAGATGTTAGGAAATTTGCATCAAGATGCGATAGTTGTCAAAGACTTAAACATACAAACCACTATACTAAGGAACCTATGTCAATAACGTCAACGGCAAGCTATCCCTTCCAAAAAGTATATTTAGACATTATCGGTCCTCTACCAAAAGATATTAACGATTTTTCTTATATTCTCCCACTTCAGTGCGAATTAACGAAATTTGTAGAGGCATATCCTATTATGTCAAAAGACGCGGAAACGGTGCAACAATGAACGAGGTCTGCAATCTCCTAAAAATTAATCAAATACAATCAACCGCGTACCATCATGAAAGTATAGGTGCTCTGGAGAACTCACATAAAGTTTTAGGTGCGTATCTCAGAAATCAGACCCAGAATCATGACGATGCTTGGAGTACATGGATTCAATATTGGTGTTTTAGTTACAACACAACAGTTCATACGGAAACGAAATATACTCCATTTGAACTTGTATTTGGCCGAAATTGCCTTTTAAGTAATTTGAAAAACACTATCGAATCCATATACAACTTTGACAATTATTCTATTGAACTAAAATACCGACTCCAAAAAGCACATGACGACGCAAGAACTAATTTAATTCAGTCAAAAGAAAAACGAAAAACGACATATGACAAAACAGTTATCCCCAAAAACTACAAAAAAGGCGATATGATCTTGGTAAAAAACGAGACAGGGAATAAGATTTCAAGTCCATGTTTCTTAGGCCCATATGAAGTATTAGAGGATTTAACTCCGAATGTAAAAATTTTGAAAAACAATAAAGTTGAGTTGATTCATAAAAACAGAACTAAATTATATATAAAATAGTTAGTATAATAATGTAGGTATAGTATTAATCCCAACCAGGCCTGGTACTTAGTAATTAGTAATTTTCTGTTATAGGTATTGTAGCTTTCTTATAGACGTATATTATTATTATAGTAATGGGAAAAATAAATAATTATGTAAAATTTAAAATTGTATTGATACTTCGCAGGATGTTGTGCTTTCCAGATTGCAGTTCCTGCCGGAGGAAAGGAAATTATTTTGCAATCAAGAATTGAAAAATTATTTTGAAAATCCGGGGGGAGGTGTAGTGTGGTACTGTACACCCTGTATAGAATTGTATTAATGTTATGCTTATACTAGAATATTTCATAATATATCCATATTGTTTAGCTGTTAAGTTTCGAGTTCGATGGCAACGAACTCATATCCTGTACACTTAGAGTTAACACAAGATTGAATAAACACGTAATGAAGCAAACGTAGAACAGAGTTTGATTTAAGGGTAGAACATCAGAGAAATACTACAGGATGATGTTACGACAATCTACCAGGTGCAATCTCGATTTAATGGTATGGCTCGAAATTGGTATAATGCATTACAACAATATCCCAGTTCTTGGATAAAATGGAAACATTTCTTAAACTTTTCCTGATCATGTTGATTACGCCACGGCGTTAAGGGAAATGATGGGACGGACAAAAGAGAGAGGAGAAACCATGACCAACTATCTCTTCAGTAAGATGGAATTATCAAGGACGTGCCAAATAATTGGGATAAATGCAGTTTCCTGCATCATTGATGGCCTTACCGATGTTAGTGTCCAAAACAGTGCAAGAGCAGGCCGTTACGTCACACCAGAAGCTCTGTATCAGAAATATTTGTCGACGTTACGTGACGACAAATTTGGCAAATCTGAAACGAGTGCAACTCAAGAAAAAATATCCACCAACAGAATGGAGCGACGCATCGAAGTTAGAAAAGAGCCGTATAAGAAAGGCGATATTAAGAATGTGCAGTGCTCTAATTGCAAAACAAGGGGGCATTACCAGTCCGATTTTCTAAAACAGAAGATGGTTTGCCGAAAATGCAAATTATTGGGTCACGAAGCCGACAAATGCAGAGTGTCAGGAAAATTTAAAAGCCGCTCAGAACAACCACCAAGTAAGTCTTCAATTAATATTGTACAAATACCTGAAACCTTAAATTTGAATGAATCAAACACTTGTTATTTTATCGATTGCATGATTAATGGCCATCCTATTAGAGGTTATGTTGATTCTGGCTGTGGAATAGTAACTATTAAACAATCAGATGTAAAGAAGGTGGGTTTACTTTGTGAACCAGCTTCAGCCTGGTTCCGGGGTTTTGATAGTGGTACTGTGCACGTAAGCAATAAAGTGACGGCACAGTTAACGGGGGACCTAGCTTCCGTTGAGGTAGAAGCGTTAGTAGTCCCTGATAATGTACAAAAAGTCTCTATAATCGTAGGACAACCATTTATTAACAACAAAAATGTTACGGTTGTCATTCATGATGATCAGGTTCGGTTCTTTAATGAAACTATCTTTCCAAACTTGAACATTTTACCGCCAAAAAAGATAAATTTGTGTAACGCCGAGACAACCGTTATACCTTCTCATCATATAGGGCATATTCTAGTATTGAATGATGAAACTCGCGGTGATGTTTTTATTGATTTACAGTATAGGAATCTCTCTAACACAGAACATATTATTCCGCGCTGGGTGACAAATTTAAATCAAAATTTTCTGTTATGGAAAGGGTAGGATAGTAGTTAGGGGCTACACTTGTTACGAAGAAATTGATATCTTTGTTCCTATATTAACAACCGAAGTTACGGAATTTCTTAAAATTTACGACTCAAGATATTCAAAACCAAACCAATCCCAAGCTCAATAGTACCGATTTTAAACAGTTATTAGACCTTCTTAATGAATACCATGATTGTTTGGCAACAAATGTAGACGAGATTGGAAAAACAAAATCCACAGAAATGGCGATAAAGCTAACTAATGATATTCCTATTAGATATCGCCCTTATCGCATGGCATTTTCTGAGAGGGAAGTCGTAAGAGGAATAGTTCACGACCTCATGAAAAATGATATTATCCGTGACTCATCTTCACCTTATGCAAGTCCCGTCCTTCTGGTAAAAAAGAAGAATGATGAGCCGCGCATGTGCATAGATTATAGAGCCTTAAATCGTGAAATGCTGAAAGATAAATACCCATTGCCAAGGATCGATGACCTCCTGGAATCTCTCAAAGGTCACATCTATTTTACGACCCTAGACCTAGCATCTGGATACCATCAGATCCCATTGAATGAAGAATCAATTCCGAAGACTGCATTCATAACACCAGATAGACACTACGAGTTCCTGCGAATGCCATTTGGACTTGTGAATGCTCCTGCGATTTTTCAGAGAACAATAAATCAAGTCTTGGGCTCTTTGCGATTCGAAACAGCTATGGCATATTTGGACGACGTATTAATACCGTCAATATCATTACCAGGTGAATTAAAAAAGCTGAAACAGATACTAAATATCTTTAGAGAAGCCGGTTTTACACTCAGAGAACATAGAATATTTAGGACATGAAGTATTATATCGGTATACGTCCTGATGTGGATAAAATTGAAGCTGTAGCTGAATTTCCAACACCCAATAACGTTTATGATGTTAAAAGATTTTTGGGACTAGCTAGTTATTTCAGAAAATTTATAAACGGATTTGCCTCCATTGCCAGACTAATTTTTTCACTTACCAAGAAAAACTCCGTTTTTGCCTGGAATATGGAAAAGAAAATTGCTTTAAAGGAATTAAAGAAAAAGCTTGTAGAGAGTCCAATACTGGCAATATGCAACAGGGAGGCTGAAACCGAAGTCCACTGTGACGCTAGCAAAATAGTATTGGGAGCAATACTATTTCAAAAACAAAGTAATAATAATCTGAAACCCATTCAATATTTCAGCCGAGCCACTAATCAAACCGAACAGAAGTATCATTCCTATGAGTTGGAAACGTTGGCATTAGTGGAGGCCCTCAAAAAGTTCAGAATTTACCTCATAGGGAGTAAATTTAAAGTTGTTACAGACTGCAATTTACTCCGCCACACATTAATGAAAAGAAATTAACAGCTGTATACAACTTTCCATTTTAACTTAAAAGCGCTTTTTAAAACTGGTCACTTTTAAAAATGTGTATTCTAAGCCATACAAATTTTTAAAGGTACCAGTGTAGCATTTTCAATTTCTTGGCTAATATGCTACTCTGTTTTGCTCTAGTGGATATGATTCCATATAGAACTATAAAGAGATAAATGAATAAACGACGATCTTTTCTGTGCCCAGATTTTATTACCTTGAGTACTGCCTTCTACTAAAAGTTTTTTGGTTTAGGTTTGCAATTGTAGTTAATTGATCTAGGAAGGTTTATTTGATTCAGTACGGCAGGGCCCGCTGTTATTGATTAGAATCTTAGGAAGAGGAGATAGTACCATCGACTCTGTTGGCAAATCCATTCAAATAATCTGAGGTTATGATAGTTGCTGTTGTTTACTTTTTTCGATTTTTCAGTTTCATGATACATCTGTCATTGAACAGCTGTCTTGTCTAGGCGTTTTCTTTAGACCTGGGGGCGGATTACGAACTCTCGATTCGAACCGAAACCGCCAGGGATTTCGAACGCACTCCATGCAAATCCATCAGAATGCGTTCGAAATCCATGGCGGTTTCGGTTCGAATAGAGAGTTCGTAATCCGCCCCCTGTTCTACTTTTTGATATAGGTTCTATAGGCAATTTTCAACATTTACCGGTTACCTGGAGTCATTTATACACAACCCACTTTTGACGAATTGTAAGGGTTGAAACGCTGTAGGACTGCTTACACGGGCATTTGTCCAGATAGAATGAAACTTTATGTTTCGACAGTTACTGATGATGACATTAGTGACGATAACCCAGTAGACGAATAATGTGTTTCGTCTCTCGGTTTTATTCTAGTGTATTATAACTAATTTTGTGTTGTGTTTTTTTTTAAATTTAAGTCCAACTTCACGGGGTCGTGAAATGTAATCAGGTAGGTGGTAGGCCGACTGTAACCGAACTGCAACCACGAATATAAAGATGCACCTCGGATTCCTAGATACTGTATAATTTATGCGCCAGCATGTTTCACAGATAGCGATGTTTTGAAGAACAAGGAGAGCTTATTATTTACTTCTATAGCTGAATCTGACTTTCTCTAAGGATTTGTTGCTTCTGGATATGGGTCTTTAGAGTCTTTTTTTATATATTCCTAGAAGCCACCCTGTCCATGATAAACTCTTTGTGAACGAGATTATAATCCACTCAGCAAAATTCACCAATGAAATAAATCTTTTGATGGTATTGTGTGATAAATGCCCCCCATCCCAAAGCAAGCCCAAAGTTACGAGAACAATAGTCGGATATGAATCAGTCCGTTTATTTTGTTTTAGAGATTTAATTCCCTTTATAAGCGTAAAATAAATTTTGCCCCAAACTCGGAACTACTTTGGATACGGAAACTCTCTGTCATTGTTCCAGTGGTAATGATATCATAAATTATTTTGAGGCTCTAAAATTATGATATCAGAAAAATGAGCTTGTTAACCTACGGCCTTAATGAGTGCTGTCAATCTTTCTTTTTTTATGTTTATTATTTTAGGGTCCGCAATGCGACGAAATGAAAAAGAATCGTTCAAGGGTTTGCCGATGTTTTATACTGTGTGTGATAAAAATAAAGATGAAGAAAAAATTAGGTTTATAAAAAAAAATAATTCCCCAAACGTCTTTTTGATGTTTTTAGTTGGCGCTTGAGTAAATTTGCGTTCGACCAAAATTCTTTGTGCTACCAAGCGAAAACTTGAAATTAGAACGCTCCCGAAATTAATATTTATCTTCTTTCAAGATCTTTTTTTTAAGAAAATACTTTGCATTTATCGTCTTTGAGTGAAGGCTTTAATTTTTTTTTCTCGGTTAAATTGTGCATTCAAAAGAATCCTTTGTAACATGATTTATCAAGCGAATTTGAATCTCTTCAGTTTTGAGCGAAACTCAAAATACCAAAGCATTCCCTCTGGGATTTATGACGGTGTCAGAGGCATATTTATTTTCACTTTTGCGCGATCTGGGTTCAGCTTCATTTCGAAAACGACCAACGAAATTGAATAATTTTTCACGGCGCTCGCTTTCGCTAGCAGATATATTTTTTTTTATTCTACATTTTTATGGAGCTCGGCTTCCTGACCTTTCTTTTTGCATCGAGGTTCAACATTTAACCAAAGGGAATTCGTAGGAGTCTGAATACGAAGAGTTGAAAAGCAAATAAATTATAACGAGTTGAATAAGATTTTTCATTTTTTATTTTCTGTTCCAGAAAATGACGTCATTATGTGGCTGAAAAATTATTAATTTGATAAAGTTTCCGGGATTATTATATCTGGAACTATAACTGCAAATGAGCTAAAATTGTCAGGGTTTATATAGTCCCTCACTAGAATATGATGGAAATTTCAGATTGCTATCTATGATGCAGTTGGCGATATGGTTTTTCATATTTTTAGAAATTTTCCTTCCAAGGTAGTACAAAAATGTTAAGATTTCAAATTTTTCCGTTTTGAGATTTTAATTCTAAATGATCACTTGGACTCTTAAATTCAAAATCAACATAACTGATGAGCGAAAACGAGCTAAGTCCGAACGCTGAAAGCACTCACATTGCAGACGAAATATTTCAGCTAAGAACAAAGCAAAAATTAGACTTCTCAGAAATTTTAGGACCAGGAATAAGTAACTACTCAAAATATATAAGTGAAGAACACGGAGACAATACTACTGGAGATAATCTAGAAGAAACTGTGGTAAAAGCAAACCAGGTTGTCCCAAAAAACATAGACGAAGACGCAAATTCCTCTAACAAAAAGTTAGCAGACAAAGAAACACCGGACGAAGAAACGGCAGAGAAAGAAGAATCAGATCAAAACATCCAAACAGTAATGGCAAATATTACCATTAAAGATGCAATGGCAGCAGGAAAAAAGGCATCGGTACCCCAATCCATAAACCCGCCAACTTTCCACCCTTGCAGGGGAAGTGCCGCTGAATTTCTAAGGAGTTACGAGAGAATGACAATAGCGAATGGATGGAATGATACATTGAAGATAACGTACTTATAAACATTCCTAGATGGCGCTGCCAACATATGGTTCCAAGAGTATAAACGAGACAATCCAAACAGCGAATGGGAAGATATTGTAAGGGATTTCTCAAAAGAATTCGAAGACGCCAACTATCTGACGGTCCTAAAAAGGAAAGTAGAGGAGCGAAAACAGGACCCAAAAGAGACAGTCCGGAATTACCTGTACGAATTGAGAGTACCGTACCATGACTACAGGAATAACATAGATATAGAAGAATTTGTTACAATTTTCAGCAAAGGGTAGACTGAAGAAAACTTTTATCACTATTACTGGCTCACGAACCCGCCAAATGGTCCACCAGACACGCTAGAAAAAATGAAAGAAATTGCTGGGACCATAGATAAAGCACCAAAAAGAGAAGTAAGAGAAATAGAAAAAGAGGACTTCCAGAGACATCAGAGGTATGAACCTCCAAGAGCAGGCAGTCAGGGACTCCAAAATAACAGAAACCAGGTGGTGTGTTATTATTGTGGAAAAAAAGGGCATATGGCAGCCATATGCAGAAACAGACCACAGCCGAATAAATCAACGCAATACAGAAGCAGCGAAAAATGTGATAATTGTGAAATCAAGCCTATAGTCCCGGAAATTATGGCAATAATCCGATATGTTGCAATTGTGGGAAACCGGGACACTTTGCAGCCACCTGCAGGAGCCAAAAGCAGAACCCAAACGGAAAAGGATGGCAAAAATAGATACCCCAGCCATCCTAGCCCTAGGGGATACATTCAGAATAGGAATCTTATTCATCACAGTTACAATAAATAACAGGACTCTGTCTGCTATAGTCGACACGGAAGCCAAAAATAACGTCATACCAGCACAACTGGTAACAGGAAAAATACAGACAGACAATAACACGATATTAGTCACCGCAGGGGGACATCGAATACAAGTTTTGGGAAAAATGACAACAACAATGGAAATTGCAGGAAACTTAAAGTGGAAAGGTATACTCAATGCAAAAGTCATCTCAGTGTCAGGGCAACCGATGATCCTGGGAATGGAATTTTTGACAGAGAATAGAGCCATCCTAGACCTACCGAGAAAACTACTCATATTAGATAATAAATATAGAATACGACTAGGTCAGGACTATAAGCAGAACATTAGCTTGTCAAGCCTCATTACCGCAAAAAACTCGAGCACGGTACCTAGCTGCTCTCAAAAAGATGAAGAAGAATTCAATAAGTTTATCAAGGACCACATACACATAAGAAAGACAGATACAAGCAGATTCCTGAGGAAAGAACATCGAGACATAAATCACCTACCAAAAGACGCGGTTTTGGTATTCGGAGTAACCCAGAACTACATAACAAAGAGGTGCATATACAGAAAATACAGGCGCAGCCTCCCGAAGAAAAGGGAACCATCAGGAACCATTGAACAATTGAAAGAGATAAACTACGGAAAAAAATCTACAATTTTTCTATTCACGAGAGAAACGATGAAAAAAAAGCCTACCCCAAGAAACATGTACAGATGCCTGATAGCACTGAAAAATACTAGCAAATCTAGATCCCCCACAACATTGGTCATCCCAAGACAAGGATGGGGATTGAAAAAAGAATGGGGAAGATTTGAGCAAATGCTGTATCATGTTTTTGAAGACTCAGGAATCGAAATCCGCATACAAAAACAGGCAGCAAAACAACAAAAGACCGGAAAAAATTCCGGAGAGGAAATTGGTCAGCTAATGCAGATAATCACCGACACCCGAAGAAAAACGCTTAAAATAGGAACCAAGAGAGATTACACTATAGCCGAGAACCAAATAGAAACAATCGAATTAGAAATTATGGGCAAAATGAATGACATAAAAGAAACAATAGGCTACCGATGCAAATACAAATTAGACTGGCTCGCAAAAAAGCACCTAGTACTAAAAACACATATCTACACAGATGGGGACTCCCTCGTCCTGAAAATACAGTCAAAAACAAGGAATCCAGCAACCATATACGCAGGATCCACCATAGCATTTTTGGAAGAGTTGGAAAACGAAAGCCCGTTGTACCACCTAGAAACGCAAGAAGAAATATTAGACGAAACCGAGGAAATAACACTAGAAGACCACAAACTAGAGAACATTAGAGACAAAAGAGCCAAACAGGCATTCCAGGATCTCCTGCTAGAATATAATGACATTTTCGCCAAATCAACTAAACACATGGGAAGCACAAACCTAACAGCACATAAGATAGAAGTGGGAGAAGCGCAACCAATAAAAAGTTGTCCATACAGAGTGACTCAGAAAGAAAGACAAATAATCGATGAACAAATCAAGGAGATGCTGGATAGCCAAGTAATCAAACCTTGTCACTCCCCGTGGGCTAGGCCGGTGGTTCTAGTGAAGAAAAAGGATGGAAAAACGATATTTTGTGTAGACTACCGAAAAATAAATGCCGTGACGAAAAAATCAACGTACCCACTACCACAAATAGACGATATTTTGTCATACTTAGGGGACGCAGCATACTTTAGCACCCTGGACATGTTCTCGGGATACTGGAAGGTACCTGTAGAAGAAGGATCAAAACAATACACAGCATTCGTTGCACAGGGACATGGTACATATGAATTCAACGTTCTCAGTTTTGGGCTATGCAATGCTCCAGCCACCTTTCAGGAACTTGCAGACTAAGTATTTTGGGACATGAAATGGAAGGAAGTACTTATATACCTGGACGACATTATAATCTTTCCAAAAACACTGGAGGAACACATAGCCAAACTAAGGAAGGTCTTAGAACGATTACGACAAGCAAACCTAACACTCAAACCAAGCAAATGCGAGTATCTAAGAAAGGAAATAAAAATTTTGGGATTCAAGGTCAGCGAAAAAGGAGTCTTGCCAGATGAAGAAAAGATTGTATGCATAAAAAACTTCCCAACCGCTAAAAAGGTTAAGGACGTGCAAAGCTTCTTGGGACTTTGCAATTTCTACAGGAAATTCATTTGTAATTTCGCCACAATAGCAAGGTGTTATGAAATCCACTGAGTCTCGGTAGATTTTTATTATAACAGTCGGCTACTTGTCATGCAAATTTTATATAAATTTGCTGCAAGATTCTTGCCCAAAAGACACGTATATTGTTTCGCACAGCGTCGAGCCTGTGAAGCAATACGTAATGAAATTACAAGCTTGACTCATCTTGTATACATTTATTGTACGTTTCAGGAACAAGACTGGAAAACTTTATCGAATACCAAAATTTACGATATCAGCTGGTCAACCCAAAATGCAGGAAAGTTTAAAGTGATTTTGAATAGAAATCGTGTGTACGCGGATAAGGCGACGACTTATCGAAACATGAAGTTGGTTTCTAGCACCAAACGCGCCCGTTTCATTAGGAAAATTCACTACTTATTCGCGGGTTTGACAAATTTTTTGATTCATTTTTGACAATGCCAATCACAGATGCCAATTCTTCTGCCAAATCTAAAAAACAGGTAGGTACAATAAATTCATTGTGGCAGTTTCGTTGCGACATAATTATTCATTTCCGCAATTTGGTTCACCACGTAAGTTAAAATTCCTAGTTAGGGAATAAATG